AAAAAAAAAAAAAAAAAACACCTTGACCTTCTCCCCAAAATGGCCTGAGTGGACAAGCATACATGTGACTGCTCCACCAGGCCTGTGGTGGTTTCTTGTTCCCTGGCTTGAGACAACCCTTCCACATATTATCCAAGACTCCAGGTTGAGGCATGTTGCGTGATTTGGGTTTCTTCTTCACAATACCCATGGCATATTTTCATATTTATTCCAAGCATTATTTTTCCACCTCTAATACATTCACTATGAGACGCTGAAACAAGCGTCCTGAATAGCAGGCCACTGAGCAGACACGGAGCTGGAATTTCTTGCCTGGGCTTCTCAGAACGCCAGCGCTGATCTCCAAGAGACTCAGCAGCAAGATTCCCCTCAAAGAACAACTTTCGACCAAGATTGATGTGTTTAAGAAGAGCAGTTTATAGAGCAGCTGCTTTCAACCTGACCTTAACCAAGAACTTCGTGTGTAGTTATAGAAACTGGAGTGACTAACCCAAACAGCACCTTGCTGACTGACTGCAGGCCCTCCCTGCAGAAGCCCGTCCAACACTCCTTTTATGAGCAAAAGCACACGGCCGACCTCACGGAGAGGCTGTGCTATGTCAAGCCGCAGAAGCACTGTGGTGGGGGGGGTAAGAGCGAGGGATCTGAGGCAGAAGGCCTGGCCCGAGGCCCAGCTCCACTGCCCGCTAACTCTGTGACCTGGAGTCACCTCATTTCTTCCAACCTCAGCTTTCTCACCTATTAGAACACATATAGTATCATCCCGCCTTCTTCACAGGATTATTGGGAGATGCTGGAAAGCCAGCCCCGGACGTGGCCGTGCCGGGCCGCACTGTGGGAGCACACGCAGATCAGCTGGAGGGTGCCATCACAGAGTGCCCCCCGCTGTATAGCGCAGACCACAGAAAGGTATTTTCTCACAGTCCTGGAGGCTGGACCTCCAAGATCACGGTGCACACTGTGTCGCCTCCTCTGAGGGCTGAGGAAATGCTTGTTCCAGGCCCCTGTCCTTGGCTTGTGGCTGGCGACTGGCCTGTTCACATGGTGTCCCCCACTGTGTCCCTGCATGTGAATTTCCCCTTTCTATAAGCACACCACTCACATTGAACAGTGCCCACCATAATGACCTTATTTTAACTTGATTGCCCCTGGAAAGATCCTATCTCCAACTAAGGTCACACCTTGATTACCAGAGGTACTGAGGGTCAGGACTGCAACATAGATTTTAGGGGTGGGGGAACACGATTCAGTGCTTAATAAAAATGCATGCCAAGTTCTGGGGCCTGGAGACAAACCTGCTCCTTCTCTGGCCAGGAATACCAAGTTGGGAAACTGGTCATATGAAAATTGTCCCCACCTGTCCGTTGACTGACTTGAGGCAGTTGGAAGTGAGGGGTGAGAAGGCTGCCCGGAACACAAGGCCATGCCAGGGGCTCCACGGGCACTCTGAAGGTTCTGTTCTAATCTGAGCTTTCCTAACATGAGTCAAATCACTTAAATATCAAATGCTTAGACAGCACTTTCTGTGTGCCAGGCACTGAGCACTTTACAGATGGTAGTTCGCTTAATCCTCCTAATAACCCAGTTGAGGTAGATTTCGTTAACATCCCCATTATACAGGTGAGAGAACTGAGGCAGAGAGGAGTTAAAACACTCGCCCAAAGTTACACAGCTAGGATGTGATGGAGCTGGGCTTCAAACCCAAGCAGTCTAGTTCCAGACTTTCTGCTCTGACTTCCGTGCTCTGAGGGGTCTCTGGGCTGGGGAGGCACAGTTATGTCACCCTGACACAAGCAGGGCCCACAGTGTCTCATGTGCTTTTTCTGTCATAGATGAGTATGAGGTGGACTGGAGCAATTCTTCTTCCCAAACCTCAGGGTCTGGTGCCCCGTCGGCTGACAAAGAAAAGAGCTGGCTCTACACACTGGATCCCATCCTCATCACCATCATCGCCATGAGCTCGCTGGGCGTCCTCCTGGGGGCCACCTGCGCGGGCCTCCTGCTCTACTGCACCTGCTCCTACTCGGGCCTGAGCTCCCGCAGCTGCACCACGCTGGAGAACTACAACTTCGAGCTCTACGACGGCCTCAAGCACAAGGTCAAGATGAACCATCAGAAGTGCTGCTCCGAGGCATGACAGATTGCACCTGAATCACACCTGACGTTTCATTCCAGCAAGAGGGGCTGGTGAAGATTACATTTTTCCCCCTTTGGAAACTGAATGCCATAATCTCGATCAAACTGATCCAGAATACGGAAGGTAGGGACAGGACAGAAAGGCAAGTTGAGGGAGGGAGGGATATGCAGCCACAACAGGGGGGATCATCCCCCTAGGACTGCGGTGGCTGAGTCATTGCAAGAACGGGACCATGCTCTCTGCTGGGAAAAAGACAGGAGCTCATCTCTTTGGGGTCAGAGTTCTGTTTTGTTTGTGAGTTTGTTATTATTAATATTATTATTATTATATTTTATTTCTTTGGTCTGTGAGCAACTCAAAGAGGCAGAAGAGGAGAATGACTTTTTCAGCGTAGAAGGGGAGCAGGGATCATTATTCTCCGCTTTCTCCTTTAATCAACATTTGAAAAGCAAAGCATCTCTTCAGCCTTTCCATCTTTAGCAATTAAACTAAAAAAAATTAACAAGCCGTCCAGCTTATCCCATCCTCCGATTATCTGATGACTTAAGGGATAGACCGTGGTGGAGGCTCTGCCAGCCAACCCTACGAGCTGCCATTTCCAGTCCTAGCATTTAAGTAGGATGTTGTTGCCTTTAACTTTTTTTATCCAGGGGAATATTGCCATTTTAGGGTCAGCATGAACAGTTCTTTCTTGTATGCGATTGAAAACAAACCAGAAAGGAAACTTCACACATGAAAATCCATAGATGCACCTCCACGGTAGAAGCGGACGAGCCTTCAAGTGCTTTGTGAGTGAATAGGAGCCATTCTTTAAATCCAGACCCGGAGTCTGTGGTGGTGAGGCTTCCTTCGTGGGGCCTCTGCTGGTGGTCTTGCCTTTTCTTTTTCCTCCTCCTTGTTCTAAAATGTACACATATACACAAATGTGTGGGTACACACATGCGCGTGCACACGCACACACACTTTGCAGGTCTCTAAGCCCCAAGAAACAGCATTGTTCAATATTCTCAGAGGTGGGCTGGGGAAAATACAGGCAATTGGTATGTCTTCTCCAGTGGTGAGATGGGGTAACTGGCGACCAGTGGGTGGGAAGGAGAAGCCTAGCCTCTGTGACCATGGGATGGCAAAGGCTAAGCAGTGTAGACTCGGACATTCTGATGAGTTGGTCTCTCTGATGAGCTCATAGATACAGCCTTTCTCCTTTGGGTTACAGCTACCACTTAAGCCTTTCAGAAGACTCAGAGCTAGGATCTACAAGAACTGATTCTATCCAGAGTCTGCAGGTACTATGGACTGTTTTCCCTCCCACACATGCATGCGTGCATACACACACACACACACACCCCATTTTATGTGTTTTTATTAAGTGCCTTGAAAAAATGAAGAAAAATGTATTTTCCCTTTAGGTAGAAATCAGTGAATATCTTACAAGTTAAGGCATTCCTCCTTCCCTAACCCCAATGGCTCCGTCCCCAGCTCCCCCAACTCACCACTGACCTATCAGTGGGATGAGTCCTGCTGCCGAGAGATAGTCAGAGCCCTAGATGACTCTCAGCTACTCTCAAAAAGGAGGCATCAGGAATAGAATGAAACCGTGTGAAGGATAAGATTGTCCGCATCAAGATCCAAATCTTGATTACCTATTTATGCCTAAGTATTGCCTGTGTGCTGGAAATACATTTTGGAACCCAACCAGTATGCCCAGCCTGTCGCATGTCCATGGTAAACCGTCAGACCATTTTTGCTGCTATGGCCACCTACAACGTCATTTGTCTCATACCCAGGTGAAAGGGGAAGGGTGAATGGGACTGGCTAGTTACTTTAAATGTTAACTGATGAAAATGCTAGTTCAAATGGTAATGTCACAGTGTTTCGTATGCAGAGAGGGAGAGTTCAACCCACAGCTATTTATTCACGTGTGTGTGTCTTTGCGGGCCTCTGAGTTCTCTTTATCTACTGTGTATGTTAATGGTCACGTGGGATGCAGTGCTGGTGTTGTGACTTTAACCTAGGGCCCCGAGTGTCACTGCTGATCTCAGCACCCGTTGGCACAGTGGTAGTTAGAAGTGAAAAGTAAAGCTGTCACGCCCAAGGGCTTAGCTTTAGGGCATCACCCCCGCCCCAAGCTGGGCATGCAGCAGAATAGTTTTTAATTAGCCCACCCTCCTCTTCACCCTCCCATGCAGCTCAGTGTTCAGAAAGCTGGTAAGTCTTAGGGCTTTCCAGAAGTCGCCTACAGAAAAAGAGAAGTTTGAAAGTCTACACCAGGGGTCCTGGCCCTCTCGTGCCCAGCTGGCTGTTTATATGATTCCTCAAGTCCGGCCCTGCCTCAGGCCTGCAGTTCACCTCTAAGTTTTGTATGACTCAACCTGTATTCCTCTAAAAGTCCTATATCCATATTCACCATTGACTGATTTGAGGTCCCGAACGGGCCGTGAATGCTCAATAGAAGCAGGGCACCCAGGGCTACATGTAGATACCTCGCCAAGGCTGGAGACTGGCCTATTGTAAGACAGAAAGAAAGACAGCGGGGCCTATCTTAACTTGGCCAGGGAACAGCTTGGTGCATGTGTTACCTGCGTCTGTAGGCAGGCTAGCTGACTAATCTCCCTGAGTCGTTCCCTTCAGGAAACCTAACTCCCAGTATTGATCTCCTTTTTGCCTTGTACTGAATGACGCATTACCTCCACGCTCTCCCAGACTATGTGTCGACAGGGCCACAGGGCTGCTGTCTCTCTTTGGTGGGGCCGGGGAGTTGACAGGGATGAGGGTTCAAGGAATGAGCATGAATAACAAGAAAACAAGGGACAAAGTTAAACTGTCACACAGAAGGTTAACTTTTCCAGGGTTTGTAGGTAAAGGTATTCGACCATTTGCTGGCTGAGCCAGGTCATGGGAACTTGAGAGCTTTTACTGTGATTCTTTAATGTAAAAAATAAACAACAATGTCAAACTGTGTTTATATGATTTGTATAAAGCCTTTTTAAGATTACTATTTAAATAAACAGTATACCAGAGATGTATTTCTGCATTGTCTTTATTGGAGACAAAGAGACTTGAGATGAGCATGATCAAATCATCCATTCCCAGTTTGCCTGAGACTTCCCTGGCTTTTAGCACCAAAAGTCCCATGTTCTGGGAAACCCTTTCTCCTAGCTGTCTTGGGCTGCTATAACAGAATACAAAGGTCTGGGTGGCTTAAACAACAGACATTAATTTTTCACAGTTCTGGAGGCTGGGAAGTCCAAGATCAAGGCACCAGAAGATGCAAGGTCTGCTGAGGCCTCTCTTCCTGGCCTGGAGGTAGCTTCCTTCTCTGTGTGTGCTCATCTGACCTTTCCAAGGAGAGAGATCTGGCCTCCTCTTGTAATAAGGACTCTAATCCCATCACAAGGTTCCTACTCTGCTGCCCTAATCTAACTCTGATCACTTCCCAAAGGCTCCACCTCCTATTACCATCACAGTGGAGGTTAAAAGCTTTAATGCCTGAATTTTGAGAGGCCCCACACATTCAGTTCAAAACACCCCTCAGTCCTGGGCAAATTAAGATGGTAGGTCATCCTTTCAGGATAATATTTCTCAACATTGGAGTTAGTAGGTCGGTTGCTGAGTGGGCTTTTATGAAGACATGAGGATGCATAATAAGCTGCTTGAACTCAAGAGTCTGCTCTGGTAGATGGTAGAGCCTGGGATCCCTACAAGTACTATTCCTCCCTGGATCTGGCCAGGCCCTGCAACTTCAGATTCTTTGCTGCCTCCTTTCTGTTCACTTGCTTGTCAATGTCTCTGGTGAGCCAACATCCATGACAGTACTTCTCAGAGAGTGGTGGCTGGACCAACAGCAGTAGGGAGCTTGGCAGAGATACATATTCTCAGGTTCCCTCCCAGGTCTGCTGAATCAGAAACTCCAGGGGTGGGACCCAGGGATCTGTGTTTTAACAAGTCCACCACTGGGTTCTGATGCACCTTCAAGTTTAAAAATCATTGTTGGAGGTGGAGGGGACAATGAAAATTATCCTGGCCTCACAAAGTGATTAAGGATCCTCTCACCTGTTGGTTATAAGCTTCAAAATGAACCGGACTTTGGCAATGAAAGCTAAAGGAGGCCAAGTATACTCCAAGGCACTGCAATCCATTCCCAGAGAAGGAGGGAAGAGCTTTATTATGAATGCCAGTCCCTCATGGGAGCTGTGAACCACAGCCAAATTTACATATTTACATTTTGAGGCTCCATTCACCCCAAAAAGGAAATCTGGTTCAATCATCTACTCAAGAAATGTTTTTGAGCACTCCCTGATTCTGTAAGCTCTAGGGAGGGGAACAGAAAGCAAACAGCCGAGCACTTTAAATAAGGAACGGCTGCAGTAAATGCAAGGAGCCTCCCAACAGGTAGCTCTAGGGAGGAGGGGCCCCAGTCCCTTCCTCTAAATGGGGGGCAAGCTGAGGCCTCTCTGGGAAGGTGATGTTGAAGCTAAATCCTGAAGGGACAAAGAGGAGTGAGCTGAGCAAATGCCCAGGAGAAGCTCTCCAAACTGAACAGCACATCCCGCTGGGGGACAGAGTTTGATGTGTCCCTAGGAACACAGAGCCCTGGGAGAAAAACCTCATCAAGGGAGAAGCGCTGAGAGCAGGCTGGGAGGGTAAGAGCCAGGTTGCACAGGGCCAGGAGGCCACGGGGAGGGGGTCTCTCCAACCCGCACCTCTCTTCAGCTGTCCTTAAATTAAAAGGAAGGGCAGCCTCCCCCACCCCACGCCCGCTCCTGCCTGGCCAGTAAGGTCACCCCAGTCAGATCTCCACAACTTCCCTCCTTGCCCCTCCTGAGATGTATGTAATATCCTGTGTCTCCTGAGATGCCCGGTCATGTTACTGACCCTGGCATCAGCAGAGGTTCAAATGAAAGCAAATTTCTTCTTTCCTTTAGCTGAGCTTTGGGGTATTTTTAAAGCCCTCATAAACTAATAATATCTCCTGGTCCCTAGCCAGCTAGTGTTTACATAAGATCTTTTTTTCTCTCTTATCTGCATCCTTCTGGAAATGTTTACGCGATCCTCAGGGGAGGCAGGCAGGCCAGTGAAATGAAGTTGGAACAGGACCACGGCTGAAGGAAACAGGACCCATCTGGAGGCCCAGGCCGCCTTGGCCCTGCAGCGCTGGTGGTGGTGATGGGAATGGGGGAGAGTCTGAAGAAGTTAAAAGATGACTCTGTTCTCATTCTCACAGGCCTTGGGCTCTAATTCCAGCCTGAGCTAAACCAAACTCTTGTGAAAAACTATTTCCCCCAAGGCGTGGGGTGTGTTATGAGGAGTGGCGTGGCGGTAGGGAGGATGGTCCGAAGAGCAAATGCCACCCATTGTGGGTGCTCAGAGCTGCCTTGTCATCCACCGAGGGCCTCACCGCAACTTTAACACCCATTCCCAGCAACAAAAAGGGGAAAGTTCTAGAAGCCTAATTACCGCTCAAGCCTAAGAATAGGCAGGGTTTGCCACTAAACTCCTACCTTTCAGAATTCTAGGTGTCCCTTGCCTGCTCCCCACTCTACCCCCCCAAGACTAGTTCTCCTGAGTTTTCTTGACGACCCTGAAAGGCGGCTCCTGGCAGAAGGACATGCCTTCCACATTCTCTCTGGAGACCCCAGGGAGAGACCTCCAAGGGAACCACGAGCCAAATTGTTTCTGTACCTTATCCAGAGAATGACACCTGTTTCCCCTCCCTTTCCTGCCAGAAAATCCTGTAGGACTGTGTGTGCTCCCTGTACACAGGAGCATTGTTCAGTCACAGCAGGCTTACAAGTGCCAAAGGAAAAAGAGGTCATTTCACTAAGAAAACATATCCCCCCCAGCCACAGAGCATCTGAAAAGTCCCCCATCCTTTCACCTGCCTGGTAGCACCAGTGTAGCAGGAACCCCGTCTGCAGAGGACTCAGTCCAGACATCGCAGAGCCCACACGGGGGCAACTGCCTGGGCTGAGCATTGGAGGCGTGAAGATTTGGGGTACTCAGCTTTAAGTCCTTCAGCAAACCCTCACCAAACCAGCAGGCTTAAGCATCTGTGGTCAGCCAGGGACCTTCTTCTACCCTGAGACTCAAATGACCTCCCCTAGAAATAATGCAGTCCTTGGGGTGCAGGCTATAGCCTCCACGGGCCCCCAGACTTCTCCAAACCATCTGCAGGACCAGGTTACTATGGTTTGGAGTGCAGCCCCACTAATAAATCTTATCCTGAAACCCTTGACTGCCTCTGCTGGGAATTGAAGCACAGCCGGTCTGTGCACCCGCCGGCTGTGCCTTGGCACTGCCAAGCCTCTCGAGTAACAGCCCTGATGGGCCCCAGCTCCAAAGCGGGCGGCAGGCAGCTTCTCTAGATTTGTCTTCTGTCTTCACCTTTTTCCTCCTCTCCCCACCTCATCTCACCTCTCCTTGAGCCTTCATATTTCTATTCCCAGCCAACTATTTTTAATGCCTGTGGGAGTTCAAAGAAAGCTTCACAGGGTTTTGAAATTCCCTGTGTTCCTTTCCCGTTGAACTTGGACATGCTGAGGAGGTAGAAGAGCACTCTTCTCAGAGTTTGGGAGACCAGAGTTCAAGGTCAGGTTCTGCCCCTAACTGTGTGACCTTGGCTGGCTTTCCCATCTATAAAGTGGACTTTTGGGCTACATGAATTTTGATCCCCTGGCTAGGACATCCTAGTGCATGGAATGACTGCCTGGTTGTCTGTGTCAGTGCTGTATACCCCTGTGAGGATACAGCCCTGGAGGTGGTCCCTCCCCTATGCCCTCTCAGACTCTCAGACTCCCCTCTGCAGAGAGGCTGGGGATGGCACCTGTGGGCTTGATGTCCTTGTGATGCAGGCCCCCAACTCCAGGTCCACCGCAGCAGAACTGTTCTTTTCTCTAGAGCTCTCATCCTATCCACTCACAAAGAAATTGATGTGCCTGCCTATCCCCCACCACCTCTTGAGGAAAGGACAGATGCGTGCATTCATTTACATAATCAACATATTTTATATCAAATGCCTACAATGTGCCTTGCTAGGTACTAGGAGATAGTGATAAGCAAAACGATCTGGTCCCTGCCTTCAGGAAGGTTATAATACAGAGAGACAATCATGGTGGCTCAGACCTATAATCCTAGCACTCTGCCAGGCCAAGGCAGGTGAATCCGGAAACCACACCAATATATCAATATATCATAACAATATGGCATGAGCTGCGAAGCAAAGTGCAGAGAGCTGGGAGGCATATAAGCAGGGATCTGGGCATCGTGTCCCAGGGGAGCTGAAGTCCCAAGGCGAGTCAGGTGAGCAGGAGGGCAAGGGGGATAGGGAAGGGTGGATACATGCCAAGGTGAGAAGGCCAAGGGAAACCTGGCTAGGCAAAGTGGGAGGTGAAGGGGAGTCTCTCATTCACCTTTGAATTGAGTCCCCCAACTTGAACTGGCACCTACTATTCATGCATAATAAAGTTTGTTGAATGAGTGAATGATTTGTATAAATGCCCCTTTTGACAGGCATCAACATTCCCAGTTTGTACAGACTAAAAGAGAAGCATTTTAGCTCTTGTTTTTTTTTTTAAAACAGGGGTCTCCCTGTCTTTGCCCAGGCTGGTCTCAAACTCCTCAGCGTAAGCAATCTTCCTGCCTCAGCCTCTCGCGTAGCGGAGACTACAGGTGTGCACGCCCAGCTAGTTCTTGCTTACTGCTCCCTGTACATCACTGTAGTAGCAAACGTGTGAGTAACCTTCCAAGAGTCTGAAGTGAGAAATGATGCCCAAAGTTCTATCGCGTCTATGGGTACTATTAGTTTCTGTGTAAATATGATAATTTAGGTTAAATATAATATTCAGATTAAAATTCTGTTGAAACAGTTGGAGGGTTGCCAGACTTAACAAATAAAAAATGTCCCATGCAGCCACTGTGGAAAACAGTATGGCAGTTCCTTAAAATGTTAAATAGAGAATCACCATGTGATTCAACAACTCCACTTCTAAGCATATATACCCAAAATAATTGAAAGCAGGGACTC